GCCCTTCATTGTTTCTGCAGCCTGGGTGACGGCTCACCGTTGCCTCCTTCCCTTCACTGGCACTATCTCTGTAGCCACTGTGAGAGGCTGCACAACCCTGGAAGGTCCTTGAACCAGCATCAAGGAGAAGAAGAAAGGGAATAAGGGCTGTGTTGTTAGGGGATGGAGCTCCCATCTCTTCCCACATTTCCAGTGAAAATCTTCCGCAAAGCCAGACCTAGAGAAATTAAGACAGATTCAGCCAGGTTCTTAGTCTCATCCCGTTTTCCTTGTGTAGCCAGGATCCAATTTCTCAGTAGAGAACATTTGTCTAGTTTGGTTCAGGAATGTTTATGAAGGGTCCAGAACTAAGGGTGACCGTTAATGCAAGTGATGTGAAGCCAGAAGGGTCCTCAGAATACATCGAAAGTGATCACAGCGACAGCCTCTCTCCTTTCCCTCTTCTCCCTCCTCCCGTTCTCTCATCTCCCCTCCCTGCAGAGGATGGACAAGTCAGGAGTAAGATGTGCTCTGGCCCGAGTTAGCGGGAGAGGAAAGCTTAGAGCCTGGAGAGAACCGTATCAAACAGAACAGTCCCTCTCACCGTGGCTAATAAACACCGAGCTGACTGAGGGGAATGACAGTGTGCTGTTGAGGCTGGACATTTTGGCCCAAGCTCAAGCTGCAAACAGCAGCCTCCTTGTTTCTCCCTCAGACTTGCACATCGGTTACGTTCGTATGTCTGGCTTTTCGTGTTTTGGGTCTTTCTACACAGGCAGAGTTCGTCGCTTATTTCTTACACTGTATTTGGGGCTTTTTCTTCTCTACCCTCACCCCCTTGCAGGTACATTCATTAAAACTTGCCCTTGAAGGTGTGGAAAAGGAAAGGGATTTCTACTTTGGGAAGTTGAGAGAAATTGAGCTACTCTGCCAAGAACACGGGCAGGAAAATGACAACCTCGTGCAGCGACTAATGGAAGTCCTCTATGCTTCAGACGAGCACGTAAGTGTGACGGGCCCTGGACACTTGTGGTCACAGTGCCGTCCTCCACGTGACTTAGGATACTGCCTTGGGACCTCGGTGAGATTTACAACTCAGCCAGAGCATTTAAGATTCCCTGAGGAATAGATAGCACTGTCATCTGGTCCACCGACCCATGCCTATGGGACATGCATCCATAAGTTCATCTGGGAAGAGATGGGTGGATGTGGGGTGGGGGAATGCAGGGGGACGTTGAGAAAAATAGGCTTATGCAGCCAAATCTCAAGTGATTTTCAGCTGTCTGAGCAAATGAACAGTAACTATGTAAGGATTTTTTCTCTTCGTGAAAGATCAGAGTATGGTTAAAGGAGAAATTGACCTAGATGCTTTCTTCATACCCGTAAGCCCCACAACTGTTTTTATTTCATAGCTGGTTGTCTTGGTTACCCATTGCCAGTACAGACCATCACTGTAGGACAACCCTTTGTTGAAAAAGTACTTCTAGAAAGCCTCCTCTGTGGGGAGGACCTGCCCAGCAGGGTTGCTATTCATGAGTGAATGTGCAGGAGACCCAGAATGTGGCTCCATCCAGTGATGGAAAGCAGATGTGAGGAGCAGTGGAGGAACAAGAGAAGCAAGGAGGGGCTGGGATGGATAAATGGCAGAGACCAAGGCAGGTCACTCCCAGCCTACCCATGCAGGGAGGGAAAGGCCCCAGCAGCTGG